TTTTCTTTACTTCTTCAAACATTCTTTCTAAAGTATCTGCATTTGAGTTCGCTAGTAAAATATCATATAATGATAAATTATAGATTTAGGAAATTTTTTACTTATCACTTCCAATGGCTGTTGTACAAAATATTGGCACAGAGTTGGGCTATTCAACATTCTCTGTGGGAGGACCCTCCATTGAAATCTTTTAACTCTCATCAGAGAAGCTCCTATTTTCAGTAGATGACAATTGACACAGAGATCAAGGTGCAGAGCATAAAAGACATCTGGATGGTCATTCCTAATGAGGTTATTTATATCCTGCCTTCCTCTGAAGGCTCATGTATCATTGCAGAAGACAAGAAAAAAAGGTGGTGGAACTAGTGTTTTCCATATGGAGCAGGGCAATTACACATATGAACTCATAGCAATTGAGATGACATGCACAAGACCTGTGCAGCCTTGGGCCAGACAACTCCAGCATGGAGAGACAGGTAGAGCATGAATTCACATCCCTAGCTATAGAGGTACTGGCAGATGATAACTGCTGGGAAAGGGAGAGTCAGTTTTCTTTGAGGGTATGGCTGCTGGTGTGCTGACTGCCCTCTAGTGAAGGTCACACATCCAGTATTACAAAGACAGCACAAACTATTTGGTGAGTGTGTGTGTATGTGTGTGTGTGTGTGTGTGTGTGTGTGTGTGTGTGCACGCATTCACATGTGCACATACATCTCTCTGTGAGAGTACTTTTTTTTTCATAATAAGTATCTGTTGGGCACCACAGTTTCCTCTATTAGAATGTTCCTTAAGGCCTGAAAGATTCTTACCATTGCATTGACTGTTTCCTTCCCTCCTTTGTTTAACTCTTGTTTTATATCTTTAAATGACTACTGATCTCAGCCTTCTGCTTGATTCTATTTCTTACTATATTTTCCACCTTGGTTTGTTAACAATTTCCAACTCAAACTCAAATGTAGTAACTACAATTATAATAACCTATCCTTTGCATTCTTAATTTTATGTATCACATTTCAATATACCTATCCACTTATTACTTACATGGATTGACTTTGAGCTCTCAAATGTTACAATCACATTCTTAGTATGCTGCATATTAGATTCTGCTGTTCTACAGTGCTGCAATGGCAGACCATGTTGGCTTATCCAACTGCTCAATGGACCAATGCATTTCCTCTGTGCTTTTCCTGCAACATCTTGCTTTGGCAACTCCTAAACGAGAGAATAAAATTAAACAAGAGGATGCTCTCAACTACCTGTGGATAAAAGAGTAAAAATAACAACATCTTACAATTATATGCATGGTTCAAGCTGAAGTGCACAAACTCTTTGACTTCCTCAAACTGTAAAGTTATGTCATGAAACTTTGGATTGGTGGCCTAACCTTTGCCCTTCAAATGAAGGCTACTCAAACCCCCTCCTTTTTCTTGTTGACTGGGGTTCTGTGATTTGGCTTCTTAATTTATGCATATTTGTCTGTCTATTTTAATTATTTTAAAATATGCTTAACATTTCTTTCTGTTTTTTTTCAGCTTCTATTTTGGACAATGCATACCCACTGTACAGAAATTGGCTGAGGGATGTATGCATAATCTTGGTTGTAATGATGTTAATTTTTACTGGACTCATTTTGCTTCTACTTGTGACTGTAAACAGTAAGTGATGCAGCAGGAGTGGGAACTCCAAGGATGAGTCTCCTGTCTATCTAACTGAATCCCCATGAATCTAATCTTCACTTGGTAAAACTGGAGGAAAATAGAGGCCTGGGCTATTGCTATCTTTCTTTACTTTCATAAGCAGATTGGGAGATATTGTGGGACTCATTTAGGCCTTGCTAAGTGTTCATGTAGGCTTGCCTGTGGGAAACTATCTTTATTAGGTTAGGTGAGATGGGAAAATTGAGACTTTAACTGAGGACTTTCTTATAACACTTACTGTTCTTCCTTTAAGTACTTTCTGTGATGCTAACCTCAACTATGGGGAGCTCTATCAGCCATCTCCTCCACAGTGCTGTTACCATGTTGAGCTTTGTCCACTGAGAAAGTCTAATTTTCCATCTTTAATACTGGATTCTCACCAAATGCTGTTTTAAGGAAGCATCTTCTATAACTTACCAAGACTAAACTAGCTCCACCATTTTCATTTATCCAGCTCCTGTATCAAAGTCTCTTTGAACTCTTACAAAGCCATTCAATAAAGCAGACTCAGAAAAGGTCTCCAGGGGCACCCAGAGAGAAAACAGACCTCCCCAGAGCTATTTAAACCTATTAAAATAGAGAGAATCTTGCTTTTCTTCTTTGAGTTCTTAGCTACATTAATAAAATAATTTAAAGACAGACATGAAGGAAAACTGTGGTACAGTTTTATTAGTGTAAGAGAAAATCATCAGGACCCTCAAACTGTAAATCTTAGCATCTGCTGGCATGAGGAAATGAGGAAGAGGAAGAGAGACAGTCATATGTTTTGGAGACTGGCAAGTACCCACACCCAGAAAGGAAGACTTGTTTCACAGAGTGAATGAGAAAGCCCAGTGCATGTGAAATCATGTTTAGACATTTAGCCAGTATCAAAAAGAAAAAGATAGAAGAAAAAGGGAAACGGTATAAACACCTAAAACTAATAAAAGTACATTTTTCTTTTCTTAAAACAATATTGTTTGGCATCATAAGGTAAAAATTTTTGTCATCACAAAATTTTATAATGGCTACATAAATTTTAATACTGGTTTTCTTCCCACACATATTCTAAAGAGAAACAATGTATACTTGAGATTCTTTTATTGATTGATTGCTATGGATTTTTTTTTCAGGAATATTCTTTCCTTTTGGTTTAATGCAATCCCTAAATATGATTTATTCCACTGTTTCCTTTCCAGTAGCCAAAGAACAGAAAGCACAGTGCCAGCCACTGGAGGATGAAATCCTACCCTTATACCAGCTTTCACAGGAGTCCACAGAACAAAGGTCACCATCTCCGGTAACTCTTTCATATTTATCTATCTGTCTGTCTGTCTGTCTATCTATCTATATATCCTTCCATCTATTCATTCATTCATTTTACATCTTGGCCACAGTTTCCCCTCCCTCCTCTCCTTGCAGTCCCTCTGCCCCATCCCACCTCTGCTTCTACCCCACACCCCATCCACTCCTACATTTCTGTTTAGGAAAGGGCAGGTCTCCCATTAATATCAACAAAACATGGCATACCAAGCTGCAGTAAGACTAAGTGCCTCCCTGTGTATTAAGGCTGGATGAGGTGACCCAGCATGAGGAGTAGGTGCTCCAAAGCCTGTAAAAGGATTGGAAACAGCCCCTCTTCCCACCATTAGGAATCCCACAGGAGGACCACAATACACAACTGTAACATATACGCTGAGTGCCTAGGTCAGTCCCTTGTAGGCTCGCTGGCTGTTGGTTCAATATCTGTGAGCCCCTATGAACCTAGGTTAGTTGATTCTCTGAGTTTTCTTGTGGTGCCCTTGACCCCTCTGGCTCTTTCACTCTTCTCCTCTTCTTCTACAAGATTCCTGAAGCTCCATCTAATGTTTAGCTATGGGTCTGTCCTGTTTCCATCAGTTACTGGATAATGCTTCTCTGATGACGATTGGGCTAGGCACCAATCTGGTCACAGGAGACGGCCAATTTGACATATGTATATGCTATTGCTATAAGCTGGGGTCTTCCTTGTAGATTCCTGGGAGATTCCCTTGTGAAAAGTTTTTACCTGATCTCAAAATACTCCTCCCTTTCCAGTAGTCTTTTTCATTACTCTCCTTCATACCCCCCAACCCCCAGCATCCTGATCATTCATGTTCCCATCCTCACCTGCCCTCTGTCAACTCATGAAATCTCTTCTATTTCCCCTGACAAGGGAGATCTGGGTGTTCCCCCCATGAACCCTCTTTGTTATCTAGTCTCTCGGGGTCTGTGGATTGTAGCATAGTTCTTTATTTTATAGCAATGTCTACTTATTAGTAAGTATATACCATGTTTGTTTTTCCTGGTCTGGGTTAGTCCACTCAGGATGATTTTTTTTCTAGTTACACCCATTTGCCTTAAAATTTCCTGGTGTCCTTGTTTTTAAAAGTTGAGTAATATGCCTGGCAGTGGTGGCACACGCCTCTAATCCCAGCACTCGGGAGGCAGAGGCAGGAGGATCTCTATGAATTCGAGGCCAGCCTGGGCTACAGAGTGAGTTTCAGGAAAGGCACAAAGCTACACAGAGAAATGCTGTCTTCAAAACAAAACAAAAGTTGAGTAATACTCCATTGTGTAAATATACCACATTTTCTTTATCCATCCTTCTGCTGAAAGACATCTAGGTGTTTCCAGATTCTGTTTATTACAAAAAAAGCTGATATGAACATATTTGAGTGTCTTGTGGTATGATTGAGCATCTTTGGGTATATGCCCAAGAGCAATATAAGTGGATCTTGTGGTAGGTTGATTCCCAGTTTTCTGAGAAACCACCACTGATCTCCAAAGTGGCTGTACAAGTTTGCACTCCCACCAGCAATGGAGGAGTGTTGTCATTGATTCACATTGTATCCATCATGAGCTGTCACTTGTGGTTTTGATCTTATCATTTCTGACAGGTGTAAGATGGCATGTCAGAGTCATTTTGGTTTGCATTTCCATGATAGCTAAGGATGTTGAACATCTCCTTAAGTGTATCTCATCCATTTGAAATTCTTCTGTTGAGAGATCTCTGTTTAGATCTGTACCACATTTTTAATTAGATTATTTGGTTTATTGATATATAGTTTATTGAGTTCTTTATGTATTTTGGAAATCATCCCTCTGTCAGATGTGGATATGGTGAAGATCTTTTCCCTTTCTGTAGGGTACTGTTTTACCTCTTGTCAGTCTTCTTTTCCTTACATAAACTTCTCAACTTCATGAGGTCCCATTTATTAATTATTGATCTTGGTGCCTGTGCTATTGGTGTTCTGTTCAGGAAGTTGTTCCCTGTGTCTATTCCCCACTTACTCTTCTATCAAGTTTAGTATATCTGATTTTATGTTGAGGTCTTTGATCCATGTGGACCTGAATTCTGTGCAGGGAGGTAGATATGGATCAATTTACATTCTTCTACATGCTGACATCCACTTAGACTAGCACTATTTGTTGAAGATGTTTTCTCTTTTTCCATTGTATATTTTGGCCTCTTTGTTGAAAGTCAAGTGTCCATAAGTGTGTGGATTTAATTCATTTCCATTGATCCACCTGTCTGTTTTTATGCCAATACCATGCAGTTTTTATTACTATAGCTCTGTAGTAGAGCTTGAAATCAGGGATGGTGATACCTCCAGAAGGACTTTTATTGTATAGGATTGTTTTAGCTATACTGGATGTTTTTTTTTTTTTGCTTTTCCATATGAAATTGAGTATTGTCTTTTCAAGGTATGTAAAGAACTGTTGGGATTTAATGGGGGTTGCATTGAATCTGTAGATTGTTTTGGTAAAATGGCTATTTATACTATGATAGTCCTACCAATCCACAAGCATCGGAGATCTTCCTATTTTCTGATATCTTCTCCAATTTCTTTCTTCAAAGACTTGAAATTCTTGTCGTGCAAGTCTTTTACATTCTTGGTTAGAGTTACCCCAAGATACATTATATTATTTGAGGCTATTGTAAGGGGTGTTGTTTCTCTGATTTCTTTCCCAGCCTGATTACCCTTTGTATATAGGAGGGCTACTGATTTTTTTTAAGTTAATTTTGTATGCAGCCACTTGACTAAAGGTGTTTATCAGATGTAGGAGTTCCCTGGTAGAGTTTTTGGGATCGCTTATGTATACTATCATATCATGTACAAATAATGATACTTGGACTTCTTCCTTTCAAAATTATATCCATTTGATTTCCTTTAGTTGTTTTATTTCTCTAGCTGGAATTTCAGGTGTTGTATTGAATATGTATGGAGAAAGTGTATAGCCTTGTCTTTTTCCTTATTTTAGTGGAATTGCTTTGAATTTCTCTCCATTTAATTTGATGTTAGCAATCAGCTTGCTGTATATTGCTTTTATTATGTTTAGGTATGTCTCTTGTATCCCTGATCTTTCCAAGACTTTTATCATTGAGGGTTGTTGGATTTTGTGAAAGGCTTGTTCAGCATCTAGCAAGATAATCATGTAAGGTTTTTTTTTTTCTTTCAGTTTGTATGGTACATTAAATTAAAAGTTTTTCATATGTTGAACCATCCCTGCATTTCTGCGATAAAACCAACTTGATCATAGTGAATGATCTTTTTGGTGTGTTCTTGGATTCGGTTTTTCAGTATTTTATTGAGTATTTTTACATTGATGTTCAGAGTGAAATTGGTTCGTAACTCTTTCTTTGTTGAGTCTTTGTGTGGTGAGGGTCAAGGGAAAGAGACCCTGTGGGAGGGGAGATCCCAGCTGGATCAAGAACAGAGAGGGAGAACAAGGAATAGGAGACCATGGTAAATGAAGACCACATGAGAAAAGGAAGAAACAAAGTGCTAGAGAGGCCCACAGAAATCCACAAAGATACTCCCACAATAGACTGCTGGCAATAGTCGAGAGACAGCTGGAACTGACCTACTCTGGTGATGGGATGGCCAAACACCCTAATAGTTGTGCCAGAAACCCCATCCAAGGACTGAGGAATCTGGATGCAGAGATCCACGGCTAGGCCTCAGGTGGAGCGCTGGGAGTCTAATTAGTGAGAAAGAGGAGGGTTTATATGAGCGAGAATTGTTGAAACCAAGGTTGGATAAAGCACAGGGACAAATAGACAAATGAATGGTCATACACAAACTATGAACCAAAGGCTGAAGGGCCCCCACCTGGATCAGGCCCTTTGAATAGGTGAGACAGTTGATTGGCTTGATCTGTTTGGGAGGCATCTAGGCAGTGGTAGTGAGTCCTGTGCTCATTGTATGAGTCGGATGTTTGAAATCTGGGGCTTATGCAGGGATGCTTGGCTCAGTCTGGGAGGAAGGGACTGGACCTGCCTGGACTGAGTCTACCAGGTTGATCTCAGTCCTCAGGGAAGCTTTGCCCTGGAAGAGGTGGGCAAGGGGAGGGGAGGGGAGGGGGGCAGGAGAGGGGAGAACAAAGGAATCCATGGCTGATATGTAGAACTGAATGGTATTATAAAATAAAAAAAAAAGAAAAAAAAAGAAATTTGTTCATTTCTTTTAGATTTTGCACTTTTGTGGAGTACAGGTTTTTGTACTCCACAAAGTGCAAAGTACGGCCTAATGTTTCTCTGGATTTTGTATTGTTTTGTCCCCCTTTTCACTCAACTCCATTGATTCAAATATTCTCTCTCTGCCTTTTAGTTATTTGGATGAGGGTTTATCTATTTTGTTTATTTTCTTGAAGAACCATCTCTTTGTTTCATTGCTTTTTTGTATTGTTCTGTTTGTTTCTATTTTATTGATTTCAGCCCTCAATTTGATTATTTTCTGGCATCTACTCCTCTTAGATGTGTCTGAATCTTTTTGTTCTGGAGCTTTTAGGTGTGCTCTTAAGTCGCTAGTATAAGATAGCACCAAACTCTTCATGAAGGCCCTTAATGCTATGAACTTTCCTCTTAGTAGTGCTTTCATTGTTTCTTATAATTTGGGGTATCTTGTGCATTAATTTCAATCGAATTCTAGAATGTCTTTAACTTCTTCCTTTATTTCTTCCTTGACCTAGTGGTAATTCAGTAAAGAGTTGTTCAGTTTTCAATAATTTGTAGACTTTCTTTTGTTGTGGAAATTCAGCTTTAATCCATGGTGGTCTGATAAGATACAGAAGGTTATATCAATTTTTTGTATCTGTTGAGATTTGCTTTGTGGCCAAGTATATGGTCAATTTTAGAGAAGGTTCCATGTGGTGCTGAGAAGGAGGTAAATACTTTTGGTTTTGGGTGAAATGTTCCATAGATATCTATTAGGTACTTTTGAGTCATAATGTCTGTTAGTTCTGCTATTTCTCTGTTTAATTTCTGTCTGGATGACC